TATATCTGTTCCTGTGAATGCTTTAATAGATCAAAAATCCGATTTGAAATAATCCGTTTCCGATACATAGCATTATTGATTATTTTGTAAATGAAATATTTCGATTTAGTTTGCTACACAATGATAATGGGATGGAATATACTGCTAGCATTTTGATGGCGAAATTTTAAATTAAATGAAATTAATGAGTTAGTGAATTAATGAATGTATTTTATCTTCCATTCGAAATGATGCAGAAAATTCTTTTTTTTTTTTTCTTCAAATAGCATCCTTAATGTTTATGATAACAACAGTTGCACATTCATGTGAATTCGTAAATCATCCAATTCTGACAGCATTAGTCAGGGGAGGGAGTCAATAAACTGGATATAATTTTAGATAAGAGGAAAATGTGTTAAAAGCTATAAAATTGATGTGATATTACAAAAGAAAAAAATAAATAGTATATTTAGAATATTTTAGGATTTGACATGGATGATTTTATGGGTGAAACGAAATCTGATTCTCAAGGAAATTTCGAAGTTTCCGGTTATGTTCGTGAAATGTCAACAATTGATCCAAAAATTAACATTTATCATGATTGCAATGATGGAATTAAGGTAATGAAATTATTTTCGTTTGCACGATCAAATCTTAATTTATAAGATTTTATGCAAAAGAAGAAATGAAAATTAGTGAGTCAGTAATGCATCATTTCTTGAACCATCGACAAAATCATTTCATTTATGAATTACAAAAATTTATATTCGGAAAAGTAATCCATTTTTCTGGAAATTTTACTTTCACTATTTTAGCCATGCCAGAGAAAAATCAGCATTATGATACCAGATGGATATATCACAACAGCAGAAAAACCACGCAAATGGTATAATGCAGGCACAATTGAATTGGCTGGTAAATTCGCTGGAGAAACTCGCGATTGTATACATTAAGAAAATACTGATACAGTGCTAAGTTACATGAAATGAAAAAAAACTTCAGATTTGTATTTCCAAAAAAATTAAACTGCAGTGGTGCATTTATTCTATTGTTGCCCAACAAGATATAAGATATATCTATTAATTCGTATTTTCAAATCCAATCTCTTATGACCCTTCATAAAGTCATTGATTTTAAATGAACATTTTTCCTACTGTTACTAAATATGAGAGAAATTAATGAATGTATCGTCATATTCAACTGTTACAATGTAGATGCCACACGATCGTCCTATTTGATAAACCATTAACCACAGAAATCTGATAATCCTGATATAATAATGAGAAAATGCAACCAATCTGATGATTTGTTAAACAAAAAACTCAAATGATCATTCAAAATTTATCAAATCAAACATCAAAAGTAAAAAATCATATGCAAAACTGCACATCGATCAATGAAATCCATATAACCCATTCGAAACAATCAACAGAGCAATTCTCCAAAACTATACTGCGTAATGAGCAGCTAAACTTACCGTGATAATGAAGATCTGGTGCATTAGATAAATTCAATTCTCAAAAGTTTCTAAACTGCCATTAAAGTTAGATAATCCAATGAACTGTCTCAGATTCATTAGAAGAAAGAAAAGTAAGAAAAAACGGAAAGTCCTGCTCATGTCATCGTGTAACTTAATGACGTCGACGATCATAATCACGGCCTTTATCCCTATCACGGTCCCGATCACGATATTCTCGATCTCGATCGCCATCGCTTCGGCCATCGCTTCGACCATCACGCGATGAACGATGATCATCGTGCCTGAAATAAATCATCATAAATCCTGTCGCATATAAAATGCACAAGAAAGTACTACCACTTCAAAATTAAATCCAATGAATTCCAATTTTATATATAAGCAATATTCATTCCAGACTAATTGTCTGCTGAAAAAATTACACATAACAATAGCTAATAATAAGCTGCACTTCAAATTTTAAAGTGAAATATCCTAGAATATTGAAAAATTACCTTTTGAATGATAAAGGCCTAAAACGCTACAAACCCTGCAGTTGATAATTAATAAAGATATTCTTAATCAATAAAAGTCCTATCATTTGGACCAGTATAACATTAAGTTTACCAGTTTGCACGGTAAATAAAAACGTATAGCAAACGAACAAAATAGAATACTCGATTCAGCACTCGATCAAGTTGTCATTTGAAAGGCAATATGTGTTTTGCGCACTCTATCAGTGGTTAGATGGAGTAATGATAACACATCGAGGAAAGCAATTTGATGGTTCGCTAATATTTAAAAAAAGTCTTCTACACCAAGCTTTATGTAACGATGGACGACAATAAGATACTTAATCCAACGCCGCATTTCATTATGATATTTTGTCACTTGCGTATAAGTTTTTCCTTGCGCTCACTTTGATTTAAGATAGAGAACAGAACAGGCAACATTAAAAGTAAAAACTGTTTTCATAAGCTGTCAAAACTTTTAGTTAGGACGATGAAATTAGTATTTCAAACAGTAAAAAGTGACCGTCTTGAATCACGATCACGATCCCTCTCGCGATCACGGTCACGATCACGTTCACGATCACGACTACGACTGTGACGCCTTGAACTCGACGAAACTGTACCATTATGTTCACGTTCGCGATCATGTGAGTATGAGCGATGGGTGGATGAAGATCGATGATCACGGTCCTCATGAGCGATTTCTAATGCAGCTGCTTCAAGCACAGCCTTCGATTCACGAAGACGTCGCGTATCACCTTTACCACCACCTAGAGGTTGTTAAATTCTAAATCAGTGCAATGAAATTTTTGCGCACAAAATAAAGTTAACCTGTGAGTTAAAGCAGATTTTAAAATCAACTATGTTTATAACTGTTATGTTTTACAAGCATTGACCGTTAACGAACGTACCTAATCGCCGCGGTAACCAAGATTTTTGCGTACGACCACGCTCGTAATCAACAACCACCCGTCGTCCATCAATTTTCATGCCATCCGCTTTTTTGTAAGCTTCTAAAAACAATTTTTTGTGGATAATTGGAGAAACACGTGACGCACATGCAATACTGATTCTGCACTTTGCCAACATAGATAACTATTTTCCGCATCGTCCACTACCAAATTTAGTGATGACTGGAGCCATATGTAATTCCATGCTGCGAGAAATAATCTGCCATCGATAAAATGAAATGTAACGATACGTTTTCTAATCTCCGGTCCAAATAATGATTATTAATATTAACATCATTACTCAATGTTATGCAAGCTATAGCTACTCAAAGGAACTCACCCAGCTTACCTTTACATGTACGTTAATGACAATACAGTATCTGCTAGATGAAAAATATGCGCCAATTGAAGCATGCGTCCACTTGAAAACTTACCCACATAACTTACCCCTTCTTTCAACTTACCCGCCTTTACCAAATAATGAATTTTTTTCCTTTTGCTTATAAACGGAGTAAAAAGTAAAATCAAGCATTAAATAAACTGTCAAATTTCATATCAGCAGAAAAAGAAATGAAGCTGCCAGCTACAATATCTAAGTATTGAATAGCAAGTACAAAAAGCATGCCACTTACCCCAACCTTAGATCAGGGCAGGTACTTCGATGAATAACAAACATCTCCACATTCTCGAAATTATTCAAAGATATTCCCTCACCTCTTAATTTCAAAACGATATTCTTTCATTCTTATTATAATAAACACCATTATACATTAACCTTCTGGCAGCCTCGACCAGTTTCAGACTATAATTTGCTAGTTACTACCTTATTTTTCTTCTAACAGCATTACTAAATAATGATAGCACAAATATACACACATATACACACACGCAGACACGTATATACATACATTCACACATAAACCCACACATACATATTCACACACAGGGTCTTACCGCACTTAAAACAAACCATGGCAAAAGCGCTTTGCAATCTTGCGCCAGTTTCAGATTTCTTAACCATTTATCTGTGTGAGTCGCATACTATTATGTACTTCATCATTTTCGCTCTTTTTTCTTTAATTTCCAAAACTTCTGTATCAAAAACAGCGTAAATTTTAGACGACTCAACACAGTATTTACAAACAAACCCATGGCTGATGTATGTGTGCATTCAAGAGACAGGCACGACCATTCATAGCGAATGCTGCCCTTCTGCAAATACAGCACCATAAGTTTTTGTAGATTCCAAAAACAAGAAGTATTAAAAAAGTTGTGCCAAGAAAGAAAGATGTGCATGTCCAAAATGTCACACAATCATGTAACTTATCCTCTACAACAACAAACAAAAAGAAAAAAATCTGTCAGTAACTAAAATTAACTCGAAAATATTGACTTGAACCCCTCACTTTTCCACTAACAGTCCACCAAAATTATTTCAGAAATTATTTCATTCTTTTTCTAATGGAAATGACCCATGGTAACATTAAAGAGAATTCACAATAGCAACTGCATCATTTAACGTAATCGTAACACTGCTCTACTACTTATTGCGGCATTGTTCAGCCTATTTGTCAGCTAGAACCGTGAGAAAGAGGCTGGAAGGACATTTGTTCAAGGTGTCATCATAAATTAGATCATTGAAAAAGTAAAAGCAAAAACAAAATATTGATTGGGCCATGCTACAAGATTAAGATAACTCTAACAAGGCTGTAAATTTCATAAGTAAAAACTGTTGCAAAATACTGAAAAGAGAAAAAGACGAAACAAGACTGATGTGAAAAAGAAACAGTAAAGCTGGCATTTCAACAAAAACAAGTTCCTTCAAAATATGAACAACGTGAGATTTACTCTAATGTGTACTTTCATTTTTATTTCAACTTTGCAGAGTCGAAAGATTCAGTATAGATATGTAATAATCAAGCATGAAAGAAAATAAGCCTAAATATTAATGCCGAGCCATTGCCTTAGCGTCCATAAAACTTAAAGAATATATGAATTATAAGAAAAATTTGATAATATAATTATTACCTATTTTTAATGTATTCTTAACAAATTAACAATTGACTTACCGTCATCAAAGCACTTTTTGTATTTTTACAAACAAATTTAGAAATTACCTGACATCGACTCTTTATGCTGATATTCGATAAAGGCGTAACCTCTTGGTTTTCCATTCTTATCATGAACCAAAACTAGCTGAAAAACAAAACCTAAAAATGACTGATATCAGCTGATCGTCACCGGGTAACTTGACTATTCGGTGAATTTTAGGAGAAATGTGAACTCAATAAATGTACTGATGCGAACATTACGATACCAGCATAAGCTTTTGCATTCCAAAATCTCACACCAAAACAGTACTGATCATTACGCAGTGAGGGTCTAATATTTTAGGAGAAAAGCAATCTTATGAAGAACGTAAAAGACTTTTATTTTTTGTAACGAGTTTTTTGAACCACAAACTGAACAAGATTCACGAAGAATGAATTTGACTTACACGCGTGATCTTTCCAAACTGCTCGAATTCTCGCCGAAGTTTTGATTCCGAAGTCTCGTAATTCTAAGATACAAAAAATAAATAGTTTTTCGCAATCCGGACATACATACTAAACGCGTTAAGCAAAGTTTCTCTGTGTTTCAAAAAATTCAGAAAATGGGGGCTAACAAAGCAAAAATCATTTGGAAGCATGAAACTATAGTGCCAAGAAATTATTCAAATGTTTTCCCAATTATTTTACAACGGTTAAGAAGTCACAAGTGGTACCGCAAAACTATTAGTGACAATTTGCCCTCATAAACGGTGTTGCGCACATTAGCTTTACATAGCTCCTCTTCATCCGAAGTAGATATAGAACTATAGTCGATATGAAATTAGTAAATTCAAATTTTTTCCTGGTGTATAAAATTGAATTGATGCTGTATTAACAGCATCGAATTAATTCAGAAAAGAAAATTAATGCTGCATTAACGGCTTACTATTCGAGCTACAAACAGAGTTTTATATGGATCGACGGTTGCACTTGGATTTTGAGCTGGACTCCCTGAAACAAAATGGAAATTATGGCAGCTTAGAAAATTTTAAATTAAGAAAATTTATAGTAGAGGGTAGAAGTAACCCTTCCAAATAAAACATCAAATCAATAACTAACTGATTTTGAAAATTTAAAAATGTTACATACATGTTGCAATGCCTTGTTCAATTTTATACGCCAACAACTCTTCCTTTTCTTTTCGCTGCAATAAATATATCAAGGTAATAAGCAATAGCTGTTAAAAGATGACGTATTTACTTTTTTATATGAAAAAAGGAAACATTGTCCCTCAATTCCTTCAATACAATCCCCCGAAAGTGAAAGGTTACAGACTTTCTATATATCTAAAAAAGATAAGATTTTTTCGTCTAATCTTTCCGCCATCTTTTATGCACCGAATATGGTGCAGATCAAAGGAAAGTGAAGAATGATATAATTATTCTGAATCCGAAAACTTCACTGACCCGTCGAGCTCGTCTTTCTTCTTTTGATTCATAGACTGGTTTTGCTGGCGTATCCTTAGGGTCCTGTAAACATGTGCATCAAATTCCAAAAGATAACTATTAGTGTAACGATTTCAGAAATAAAAGAGCCTGGGATACGAAAAAAATTAGTGCAATCATTATTCCGTTGTTTTTTCATTATCTTTATACTTTATTTAATCAAAGCTTCCACAACTTCTTGATATGATATTAATCTCCTAATCGATCGAAAGTACCTGCTATTTTGTATCACCTAAGACCGGAAATCCAAATCGACTCAGATTTCTGATATCTTTATAGTACTAACTGCTATTTTATAATGCAGAAACATACTTCAAAAAGATGGATGTATTCCGACAAGCCGGACATTTTAGGTCGTTTCCGGTCAATAAGTAATTCATCAGGTGGTGGTTTATACGGTAGTGGCGGCCGTGCTTCAAACAAAGCCAGTAAATTATCCGGCAAAAACTGCGTCATAGTGCAATAAGGACCAATGATAATAACCTGAAATGATAAGAAAGATCATAAATTACGGAATCACTATCAGATGTAATATTGAACATGAAACATATGCCTCAAGTCCACGCATTTCACATATAAAAATGAAAGTTCAGTATAACGATAAAATATTCCATGTAAAACTTGAGCTGGACAATAAGATTAACGTATACATATCACATATATAGCCATAAGTGAATTTATACGTGGAGGATTAGACTCAATGGTTAATGTAACAATAAACGATGACATGCTATAAGCCACCCCAATTTCACTATATTATAAACTAAAAAATACATCAACTACATACGGGCCCCAAATCAACATTTTAAAACCAGAGCTGGCAAACCAACTCAAGAAATTTCGAAATTGTCAACAACAAGTATCACTGTGTAAACTGTGCGTCCCAACATGCTAATTTGCACTTATTGCCAATTTGTTAATTTAATATTAATTTTAATAAAATTAAAATTTTAGTGCAATGATCATGACAATTAAAACATTGGATATAATGATAATAATAATGATAATGACAGTTATAAGTGATATGGATAACGATAATGGTCAAATAACAATGGTATTGGTAACACGATATTGTATATTAAAGAAGTAGAGCCGGTTAAAATATAATGCAAAGGGTTATTTTGTTGAACTAAAGGACTTAATCAAAAAATTAAATTTGTATTTAACTTTAATTATTTACTATAATGGAATTGAGTAATAATAGGTGAACAAATTTAACTGCTAATCGTAAATCATTTTGATGTGAAATTATTTTCCAATTGTTGTAAAATTATTTACAATAGTTTCAAAATTCAATAAGTCTAAAATATAATATAATCATTAATGTTAATTCAAAAATTAATTATTTAATCAATTCAAATATTTTTTCTCATTCGCTTCTTTTTGAAATTTTGATTTGGAAATTATTAATATTTTGAATTTAAGAATTAATCAAATAAAAAATATACAACCATTCAAATATATTATGATATTACTCAAATTATTTAAGATTTCCGAATTTTTATTTGAACTAAATCAAAATTTACACCTAAGTTTATACTTGCGAAGCCTTGCTTATTAAAAATGAATAATTAAATCAATGGATTTAATTAACTTTTGAAAATTTTAATGATAAGAAAATAATTTTCCACTAATGATTTCATTCATTCAAATTTTATTCATTTCAAAAATAAACAAAAATTTGTTGTATTTGAATTAATGGAAAGGAAGAAAAGAGAATTGAAGCTTTTTTTAGGAGTAAATTATCAAAAGAAAAAGCAAACTTTTATCATTTAATGATAAGTGTAGTATCAGTTAAAACATTTTCTTTAACAAAATTACAACACTATTAAAAAAGATAGTAAAAGAATTGGAATTAAACAATTTAGGTTAATACATTGTTTAAAGCTATTAAACTATAAAGCTGCAACAGTTTTAATTATTTTTAGACTAAAATTATTTCTTAATAATTTTCAAATCTTTCAATTATCAAAGAAGGTAAAAAATGGAAATTGTAATTTTGATCAACTCTTCTTTCCAATATCTTTACCCATCACGAAGTATTAAATATCGCCTAACAATTTTAATTAATGATAAGTACGGTAATTTTTGCATTTCTGCTTTATTTCGTTAATTTTCATTAATTGATTTTATCGTATTTATGGAAATGATAGTGGCATATTTGTAAATAGTATTTATGGAAATGATAGTAGCATATTTGTAAATTGGTAATCTAAAATAATCATTAATTAGTAATTTTATAATGATAGAAGAATTAATCACTATTTTAGATTAATATTTTATAAGTTTTACATAATTTATTGTTTCTGACTTATTTTATTTCATAAAATAAGAAATGAATGGATGCGAAATGATCGGTCCATATATTATTCATTTAAATAACGTATATATTATTTATTTAGATAATATTTTATTTATTATTATTCAATTATTATCATCAGTTAATCATAATTTTTAGTTAGTAGCAATAAACGACAACTATAATATTATAATAAACAAAAATTATTAACCGTTATTTAGACGTTATTTACTACTACCGTTATTTATTATAATTATTGCCATTATTTCTTATAATTATTACTATTATTTTTTATAATATTTGTAAATTACTTCAATTCCTATTAAATTATTTCAATTCCCATTACCGTCATTTCTTATAGTTATTATCGCTATTTCTTATAGTATTTGTTAAATTACTCCAATTAATATTAAATTATTTCAATTCCTATTATTCCATCTTTTTTCAAATAAAATTTCACTAAATCATATTTCAATAATTTCGATAATTTAATTACATATAATTATATTTATAATTATATACTTTATTTTTCTCACTAATAAAAATCAAGAAATAGAAATAATATTGAATTATTACAAATAGATAAGAATAATATTTTCATTTTACATACATGTGTAATACATATGCAAATATCTTACAAT